TACATATATAAAATTTAATAATTCTTATGTCGGCTTATAATACACGCTAACTTAAAAATATATAATAAAATAAACTGATTTTATTTTGAAAAAATATCAAGGTTATACATATACCCAATACTCAGATTTATCTCAGCGATTTATGTTAAAGTTTCTTAAGACCCCATTGACAATTCTAACCGAAACTCTTGTGATCGTTCACGTTCTTACGCAAAGACGTTGCACGTATCGGTATTTTCACATAAATAAACATTTCAAGACACCCTCTATATTAATTTCAACTTTAAGCAATTTATTTATTTAATGCACGAATATACATATTTATAATTAAATCAGAAAAACCACTTTGAAAACATTGATACATATTTGTGACTACCTTTGTAAGTTTATTGTTCCACTGACACCAACTTTTCACACGTATTTGTCACTACATGATAGCTTCCGACTTTCAATGACACTCGTGTAATAAGAGACTGAATTTTTCAGGTAATGAAATGAAGGTTTATTTTTGATTAAAGGTGTCGTTAGCACGCAATCGCAAAACATCAAGACTCAAAAAATCCGTACGTATAGCCCCTCTTCCACTCAAAGTTATCGATTAAACTCCAGTGAGTGTAGTGTGTTACTTTACAACCGTCGTTTATGGCATTCAGCACAGCTTGCAAATGAGACTGAAAATTATAAGAACACATACATAGGTGTATATTTATAAGCTTATTATATCTAAGGATAACAATTTCGTAAAATTTATTATTAGTTTAGAAAAATTATTCTTGGATGACATACAAAAATGAGTTTAAGCAATTACAATTCTACATACGATTGTATTTATATACCATATTCACAGTTATACATACATACATATGTATGTCATATGAGTATGAATGTATGCTCAGGTCGTCAAAATTTACCTTGAGGTAATCAGTGCGATCTGTGTCGTTTAATTCGCCTTCATCGGACCAACCGTTTTCCGTAATATATACTTCGATATTGTTGTAGTTATCACGGATCCACCTAAATAAAAAAATATCCGGATCAATATATCTACAGGTTTTGTTTTTCAAATCTCCTACTTACTTCAAGATATCTTCCAATCCCTGTGGTACACAATAGAGCCAGTCCGATTTAGCACGCTTCCATCTCTTGTCCACCGAATATTTGAGGCGTGAATCATGTTCCCAGGAGGGAGTTTCACCCCCTGGAGGTTCGGCCATATGGACAAAACGAGAGCTGTAATAATTAAGTCCTAGAAAGTCTCCTGAACCTTTCACAATTTTTGACCAGTATAAGTTGAGGGGTCGTAAACGAGACCATGCTAGTCCTTCTTTCATGCTGTTGCTTGTAATGTCTTCGATAACGATATAAGGATAATTACCTGACTCTCCAAATATGGGGTGCGCCAACCAACCAAGCTWTATTTAATAATATACAATATACAGAGACGTGATTTAAATGATATAGTATAATGATGTGAAAATGTTCACCGAGTATTGCACTGCACGATCCACAATATCTTCTGCTCCAAATTCTGGGTTGTTAGTGTAATAGAAGCGGCTGCTGATAGTGATGCCCACTTTACCTTTTTGATAATTTGAATACTTGGCTTTATAAAGGCGATAGGCGGAGGCATGCGCCTTTAAAGTATTATCCATACATAGGTAGTCGGCAACGCCAGGAGCGTGTATCATAGGTGGGAAGTCGGCATTGCCATAGCCAGGTACACAATAATCGAATGGTTCATTGAATGTGATCCATTTTTTTACACGATYACCAAAAGYTTTGAAMAGAAAATCTGCATAATAGCGGAAGTACTTAATAACGATGTCATTGGTGAAGCCGCCGAACTTTGTCAGCTCTTCTGGCATATCATAGTGAAACATTGTTACCATTGGCTCAATATTATTTTCTAGTAACTTATTGATCATCATATTATAGTAATCAATGGCCTTTTGATTTTGCACTCGTGTATCTGCACGAGGAAGTACTCTGGGCCACGAAATTGAAAACCGATAAAAGTTAACCTGGAAGAGTTGCTTAGATCACATATGTATGTATTGTATAAATGTATACATTTTAACGCACCTTGAGTTCTTTTAATGCGACCAAATCTTGAGCGAAACGATGATAAGACTCTGCAGCTTCATCACCGTTTGAATGATCATCGATACGTTCCGGATGTAAGTGGGTATACGTGTCCCAAATGGAGGGCCCCTTACCATCTTCATTCCATGCACCTTCGACCTGGTAAGCTGCCGTCGATACACCAAAGGAAAAGTCTTCCGGAAATTTCGAATAATTCCCCTTATGCTCTAACTTACATTCGCCCCCTTCGGGAAAATATCTTGATTTCGTAATTGAAGCATAGGAGACGAAAAGGCTATTTTTTATATAAAGAATACAAGTTAGAACACAAAAAACATTACTAATATTATTTCCATAGAAATTACCACAAAAGCAGTACGTGTTGTTCCCTCATCTCAGCTTACATTATCACTGAAACCGGAGAAAATTGTGCAATTGCTTTGAACCACTGAACAGATCATAAAATCAGATTTTGCTTATCTTTCTCTAGCTTCGAAGGCTACTAATCGGGCGATAAGTTGCATGCTTACATTTATAACAACACTTGGAAAGTGCACACGAAGCATTTCTTGGTGCGATGGCAAAGCTGAGAGTCGATTCCTCTCTCTATGTTTTAATATTCAGAGCGATCGTAGCTTTATGGCTTCGATCATATTGAACAATCAGTTCGCGTTCAGAAGCTGTGTGGGCTTATTAAAAATATTACTGCAGTTTCGTAGCTTAAACTGGTGTACGATTTTTGTGAATATGTTCTAATAATAAACTATCTCAAATTTTCTCCTGAACTTTATCTCCTCTATCGTCTCAGAGGGGACTCCATTCTCATTGCAGAATGCTTGCTTTTCGTCGGCCTTTTCAGGCAAGGGAACAAAAAAGTTCCGGTGGAAGCGTTGGTTGCGGATCGTTGGCATGTCGACCTTTTTTAGGTATCTATTCCCAACAAAATCGGTGTGAGCTGGGGCGTTGTCGTGGTGCAACTTTCAATCGGCTGCGAAGCATCGTCGGACCTGATTGACCCTTCGTTTGAGTCTCTTGAGGACTTCCATGTAAAACTTGGCACTGACGGTTTGTCCAGAAGGAGCAAATTCCTGATGGACGATGCTCGGAAACAACTGACCGTAATGTACTTTTGAGACAACATAATCTTATTGAATTTTTTCGCAGGCAACTTCAAACTTAACCGCCTTACCGTTAACAAGGACTTGTTGGTATAACTTTCTGACTTGACTTTCTACTAGTTGCATATGTTATGTAATTTTTATGGTGATGTTATCAATTTTATTGTTCACCATTTTATGTTTTCTTACTCATTTGTTTCTTGTAAATGTTTTGCTGGCATTGCCGTGCCCATATAAGACGCTAATTAAAACAACTTTAAATTACATCATAATTTTCAAATTCAGCTGCAAATGTAAAGTCGGTGCAGAAGATCGCAGTAAAAATAAGTTAAACCCCATAATAACTCATCCCCAAACGAAGATTATTTGCAAAACTAAAAGAGTTGGTTGTAATGGTTCAGCAAGTTTGCACGTGAAAAAAGTAAAACAAACTGCCTGAAGATTTTGGAATAAGAGCTAAAATAGACTTATATTTCTGAAAAGAAAGTGCCTGCTGCTAAAAATTTAAAAAGTCGACCTAACACTTCCCTAGCTCATGTACCTAAAWAATATGTGTCGGTCTTCCGGTTGAATTTGAGAAGAACATTCATTATTTGGCATTTTCAAACATAAYGTAATTTAATGTCAGGAATCGATAAAATCGTTTCACAATTCCCCATATTTTTCCCTTTTATGCCCAATAAAACTTTTACCGTGTTTATTTTTGGTAGCAAATTATTCCGAAATTCGAATGATCACTTCGTATGCAGCATTYTCATGGAAGTATTTTCATGCCATTGATTTTAGGGCTTTGTGGCAGTACTGTGCCCTCCTTAAGTCTGTGGAGCTTGAAACCTAGTTAGTAGTAGCGAGCGTGTATTTAAGAATGTTGTGTGAATATCATATTCGTGTAAATATATCCGTGCAATGCTGTACTGTACAGTATCAAGTCTCTAAATTTGACAGAGACAATTTTTGAGACTTGAGACGATTTCGCTATTCTGTAAGTGATAGTCACAAACTCTATTACATTTCATTATTCAGAGATGTTTTTATACTTGAATGAAAATATATATGTCGATAACAAATATTAAATTTTCTATAACATAGTCAAAAAACATAATTATCAGTAAAAACATAAATATATGTTCACTTTGTTTCATAATACTRACGAAATTTATGTAAAATTTATTTATTTTTAACCTTTTCGTGTTTGAGGTGCTTACAAAATATGCAATCGATTACTATCTATGATGATCTCTATTCAGTATATTCAAAATGGCAGACACGAGTTCTTTTGGTTTTGTGACTTGCTAACTACCAGGTCTCAAATTTGAGGCAATATTTTGAGGCTAAAGCTAGAGACTGTTTAGTGAATAGTAACCAGTCACAAATTGAGATTTTACCACAAAATGTCTCAAATAGAGACTAGAGAATCCCGCTATAGTACTCAAAAAGATTTGAATGAACATTTAGGCCTTCTCTATTTATTAAGATTTTCTGGTCGAACGTTTAAAGTATATCAGGATTAAAAATGCTCACACAAGAATATTGATAATGGTAATAGGTTTACCTAGTAATAAATTACAATGCTGGTTGGTAATAAATATCGCCTGAGAAGATGTGGCGTTATATTGTCGATTTGCAAAAATTTCTTATGATATAGTAAGTAAAAATCTCAATATACAAAATATATATATATTTATTAATTATATTAGATGTTGAATGTAATACAGTTTAAATAATTCAGTACCAAAATATTAAAAGAACTGTGGTATTTTTTTAAGGTGGCAAAGTTTAAATGTCACCGCCAATCAGCTGTAAACCAAAACAGTGCAGATTGCAATCAATGCTCTCTGAAAATTGTACGAACAATAATGAATAATTTGAATAATCACAAATTAATAAATAAACGCATTTTAGAATTCTATGTAAGCCATAACAAGTTTGAACTTGAAGAAATTCGAAAGTACCTACATGATAATTGGTCGTTAAATTTTGAAGCATTGTATGGATTGTATAAATATATGTTAAATCCAGTTCTGGCAGGTACGTTTACAATTGAATAATTTAAATCCTACAAATTTCTGAAAARTTTAATATGGGAAAAATTATTACAGATTACAATTACGAGAAGTCTTTAGACTCTTTTCGAAAATTATTGCCAATATTTGAAGGCATACATTTCTTGTACAGCAACGCTCAATTGGATTTAAAAAAGTTTAATTTTGAATGGCTTGGAGTAAATTCCAAATATTTGCTGGAAACTTTAGAGTCAAATGAATTTGCAGAAACGTGTACCGTAGAAAAAACTCTAGTATTAACTTCAGTTCTGGAAAATGCGTTGGCAAATTTGTTCTTTGTAACTACTGATAATTGTACACCACCGCATTTGTTGCGTGACTTATTAGGCTCAAAGGAGCTCGACAATATATTCGGGCTAGAAATAGTGAGTTTATTAATTTCATAAATATTTACCACAAAATAACCTACACATTTCAGATGTCCTTATTAAAAATAATAATGGGTACGCCCAATGCAATCAATTTACGGAACATTGTATGGCATGGCTTTCCAAAACCTGAAGAAATACCAAATTATTATGTCACAATACTAATCATTATTATGCATAGCTTGGGCTCGGAGCTTAAAAGTAAACATATTGTTCAGTTGATGGAGCGTCCAAAAGCTTCAGACTTTAAAATACTATGTGAGAAAGTTTTAAACCAACTTATATTGCCTTCAGAGTTCGTAAATGAGAGTAAAGGCTTTGAACAAATTAAAAATCATGTGTGGCTACACAAAGCTTTTAAGCAGTACTGGTATCGGCTATTCCAATATTATGAAAGAAAACAGTTTCGGAATTTCGTARTATTGATCATACCGCAAATCGAATTATTACTTCGATTCATATATGCACAAGCAAATAATTTTGATGTTTCTGCCAAGTTGGATGAGTACTATATTACAATGGATTCAATATTTGAGTGTAATATTACCACTGAACAAATAGTAAAAACAAGCTAATAAATGGGAATATTGTAAGTGAGAACCTGCTTAACCTTACATATGATTTATTTATTGCACCAAATGGACCACGCGTGAGAGATAAAATTAGTCATGGTGAAATTGATATTGCTCTAATAGATTATCGGGAATTATGTGATATTTTGCTCTATCTTTCTATGGGCTTATTAAATTTTGAGCAGCCGTTTCAAAAATATGAAAGTGTTTTCCATTTAAATTGCGTTACAAAAAACACATTGAGTCGAGCTGCAAAAGAATTTCAAAAACTGACAGAAAAACATTTAAGAGAAGAAAATATAGACTCTTCAAAATTACTTATCGAGCATGCAGTGCCCTGTGATATAAAAATATTTAATCGACCAAAAAAGGAATCTGAAATAGTTAATTTAGTCTTAAGAAATGCAAAATTTGTCCAAACGTCTTGTGCAAACTATTTATTTTCCATTGATACTAGATTAAAGCTATTGGAACAGCGCGAATTACATTCTAGAAGGCGTCGTACTCTGGAGCGCATGCTGGAAGCTCTGCCGAATATTTGTAATGCCTTAAGTGGTATTTTGACTAGCCTGTTGTGCATATTTGTAAAGCTGCAAACTGACGATTTCATTTTACAAAATGAAGAAGTTTCTAAAACTCTGCTAAGGTAATGCCAAATACTTAACAAACAGACTTAGACAAACGCTCAGGACTTTTTATATAATAACTAGTGCATCCGGCCACGCGTTGCTGTGGTATACATTCTATAATTATATTCAAAGGCGAAACCGTTTTTATCGGTATAGGAATCCACAGGATTGGAGTTGAGATTTAATTTTGAATATGTTCATAYAAATAAATTATATTAGAAAAAATAACGAATTTAAGGTTGCTTTCTCAATGTCTGGTTATCAGTCTTTCTGTCCAGTTAATAGAGTTGTCCGCTTAATAGAGCTCTCACTGTATTTTTTATTTATGAATGTTTTTCTAAGTTGGCTCGAACTGGATACAGTATGCTAAATTTTACTAAAATCGGTTCAGTACTTTAGGAGTYCATAGCGGACAAACAATGTGACACGTGATTTTTATATATAAAGATAATTTCAAACATAGACTTGCAAATTATAAGAAACCTTTTTAATGTACTCCGTACCATCATTCTTTATTTAATTGAAATTGTAATTAGCTTAAGTAAACCAATTGTTGYTGTTGCCGAGTTGACTGTCCTTGGTCAGATAAAAATTCGGGTCCATTCCGATTACGTAGACCCGACTGTCGTGGGACCGGGTAAACCAATTGGTCTTAATATTGTTTAATTTTTGTTTATAAGGATTTTTAAGCTGATTCTTTATTACAAAAACATCGTAAAATACATATTAAAATATGCAAGCAATAATTCATAATCAGAGCCTCGCTTATTACATATTTCAAAACTTTAACCAGGACACTTTTTATTGAGACTATTTGAGAGATCATGAGAATATAAAAAAAAAAAAAACAAAAAATGTAGTCAATATATAAAGATATTGAACCATCTGGAACCTAAGAATATACATAACTAGTTTTAAGGAAAATTCAGATGTGTCTATTTACCTAATCTGTACATCCATTATAAACTTCTATAATTTTGTGTATTTCTGAAATATTGATTTAATTTCAGATTTTTAAAGCACGCATTAAAATTGACCGAAAATTTCACTAAATATTCCAGTGAGAGCAGCAATGAATGGATTAAAGCTGTTCAATTGTGTAAAAAGTTCACTRATGTAAAACTACTATATTATCCGAAAGAATACTTCTAATAATGGACCTTCCTCAGGAATAATAAATGTAGCAGATATTTGTGCGGTTTAATATCTATTTATTGCTTAATGCTGATATGTATGTTTAATCATTAAGTTGTGGCTTTTAAATATATATAAGTCTTAGAAATTAGCATACCATCACTTAAAATGCAAAATAACGTAATCTCACTTTTCATTTAAGTTTAGGTGATGGAAAACACAATATGCGATATAAAATATTGGTAGTCGAAAAAGTATTTTCATATCTTGCTACCAGTCACATCGTCAGCTTCATTTACCCAAAAAAAAAAAATTAAATTCGGGGAAGTTGAAAAAAAGTTACAGCTATTAAAACCAGCATCGAGTGAAAATAATGAATAAATTCGCTATATTTTGAAATTTTTGTATAAAAAAGGGAAGAAWACTGGCAACCCACCAATGAAATTTGTGAAGTTTACGGAGAGATGTATCACTTCGTGTAGCACAACAACGATTCGCTAGCTTCCGTTTTGGAAATTTCGATTTGCAGTGATGGAATAATGTCTCTAGCAGGAAAATGTAAAAAAGTGATGGACCAAAATGGTACATATTTGTTTATATATTTATTAGTATAATTGAAAACAAAATAAGTTGAAGTTTGATTAGAAATACGCAAAGAATTTTTCGATTACCCAATRTAATCCTTTTGAAACAAAATATTAATTTTGGTTGTAGCTTGATTGTATTTGATAACAGAAGCTTAAAACTTTGTGTGTAAAATGATGCAGTGAATCGCAACCAATAAAAAATTCAATTCAAAATGTGTTTGATGATACGTTGTTTTGCATTTTATGTGACAATATATTTGAAATATATATTATATTTGTATATGTATGTACATATGTATATCTTTATGTGAGTTAATRTTGTGAATTCACTTGATTCTTATTGAAGACTTGCCTTGGCCATAACTTATGACTAATGAATGAAATGTTAGTACTGATGGCATAGGTTTCCCACCATTAAATAGATGTCACGCATGCCGGTGCAAAATATGGGCAAAACATTCGTACCTCTACTCATGTGCATGCCGACATATACTTATGTAGTTATGTATGTATATATACTGGTATGTTGCATTCATGTTAAACAAATCAGTGACAATATGGTAGGCACATTAGGAACAGCGAATACACTTTATACAAGTKTTTGTATTACGAGAATACATTGATGCACCTCCAACCCTGTGGTGCGTTAAACTAGCCATTCCGCCACGAGAATTACCAGTTCAAAGTTAGCTAATACATTCGAAAGGTTCGCAGCAATCAAATAACGCTCCAAATTTTATTTTTAGTAAAATGTCCCAAAATTCCATTAAATCRAAAGTGGTTTTTTAGTTTTGCTTTGTATTTGAATAAACGCAAAACAATCTTGCTACTTTCCAGTTTCGTCATAACCTCAACCAATTTTTTGCTATTGGGTAGACATATTCAAAGCATGTACATATAAACCTAGACCGAGCTGGTGGATTTTTTTGATGGTAAGTATGTATGTACATATGTATATATATGAAGTTTTAACCGCGCTCCAGTGATTTCGAATAGAAAGAGCGGATCATGCTTGTTAAATTGTTGTTGTTGTGGTTCCGGGAGTGCAACCTACTTTYGTGGCGTAGCTAGCGGGTTCGTTGSCWGYTTTTAGCATTATTATATGTGTTTTTGTAATTTATATTTTAACTGTTGCTTTTGTTACTGTTGGTAGCGTGTGACGGTGTGTGTGGATTTGGATGCGGGAGTTTAGTTTTTCTGATCGTTCAACGATAAGCGACACAATTATTTTTTTTCTTATTGCCAGAATGCATAATGGCCATTACAAATATACGCTGGTGCCACAAATGTTTTTTGGGGATGCCTTCTATTGAAATTCAGTTGAACAGTGCAGTTGCTTTTCAGAACCTGAATCGAGTGGTATATCACGCTGTTCAAAGTGATCTTGCAGTTAGGACTCGCCCATCATTTTTATAATTTAAAGAGTGCCAGTTTTCACAATCTAAGCGAACGTAACAAAGGTCAACAGCATAAATATTTTCATTTTCCTCGAACGCATTTTTCTGTTCAAATTACTGGAAGATAAAATAATATAGTTAGAAATGCGCTGTCCTCGAAATGAGCTACGGGTGCTTATTTACCCTTTATTTGCGAGTTACTGTATTATTCTGGGATGTGCTATGCAAATACCTCAGGATGTTGAAATACTTGATGGATTCGAGTTCGACGATACCCCGGAGTATTACCCGACTGATTCAAACTACTATGAGGCCAGAAGCTTGCTATCTGGTTTCCAAAAATCTATTCGCAATAAACGCTCAACATTAGAATATGATAATGCTAAGGGGTTACCTCTGGCAAGTGTTTCGCCCCCAAATGATCTATCAGATTTTCCTCAGAGTATCGGCACCCAGCAAATAAAAGTTCATGGAAAAGAGGAAAGGGGTAGGGAGGATAAATTGGAGTCTGACATGCCACGGGCAGAGAAACAAATAATGGATCYCGACTATGACTACTATTCTCAACGGCACATATCCACTTGGAATGACGCATATGGATCGTCAGCGGTCAGTAGTGCATCGCGACCACCAACCGACAGAGAAGATGTCATGGCCGATGCCAGTAACAGTTATGCAACCCGAGGACGTCAAGCTCGTGTAAATTTCATTACACAACCCAAAAAGGACCTTACTGATGGTGCAAAAGAGCTGACRGACCCACTTGTGCCCAAACTTCCAGTTGCAAAACCTCATTACGATATGAATTATCCAATAACTTCTCCGACCTATAATTATGAAATGTATCCATCACGTTCTTATGCGCCATATTTACGTCGCTACGATCGGTAAGATTCCATCTACCATGTCTTTATGTTATAAAATTAATTATTTTAATATGAATCTGATATTTTTCAAGCTTTGACGAACAGTATTCTCGTTACGACCCTTACAACTAYGAAGACCATTATTTACACCGTCGGCATTACGATCCCTATGATAGCTATAGTCCCCGGATACCACAATACCCTGAACTATACTATAATTATCCAGATCGGCGTTATGACATTCCTGAGCCAAGAGAATATGTTCCTGTCTACAATAATGAAATCTACGATAAGACTCCTTATCCCGCAGTAAACTATCCCTCCAGTAATAGCTACGCATCCACAAAGTATCCGGAGTATCCGCGACACCAACGCCGCATAGTATATTACGCGCATTTGCCAGAAATTGTGCGCACACCTTACGACTATTCTAACCGATACGACCGCTACGATGATCTCATGAAGGCGAACAAAGCTATCACAGGAGCATACAAATTTGAAAAACCGTTGTCCGGGAACACAGGTGCTGCTACTCCAAATGCGGATTCCTATGATTACATGAAGCGCGATAAGAAGGATCGACCAACACCAAAACCCATCAAACARAACAGCAGCGGTCGACAGTAGGGAAGAAGTCGCTAAAAACTTCAGAAGCGAGATCCCTTTGGACYTTTTCCAAAGCAATATCAAATGTACTCAAATCTTCGTTAGCACTTAATTTTGACTTTAAATGTAGCCCATCAAACGATTCTTTATTACACAAATACATATGTACATTCGACCTTAATTTTTTTACCTAAACACATATACTTGGTTTGCCCGACGAATGTACCTACTAAATATAAATATTTGGAAATCAGCGCTTCGTCTTTACAAATTATTTAGGATTTGTGTTTATTACACTTTTGCAACCAAAAGAAAACAAAAGTTATTAATTTGCAAGTCAATTTCAGGTTGTTTGACTGGCCTAAGGATACGCGACAGTGACTGGACAATTTAATTACACTCCTCGCTAGAGTGTAAGAGTGTTGGAGGGTCCGGGCGTGGTCGAGATACTGYGTGTCACTCTCCAGTGATTCGTARGGCTGGGGCTGGGCCGATGAATRTGCGGAACACAAAGCAAAGAGTCATATTAACAAATATTCCGGTCAATTTGAACGCAGCGWGCCACCGCCTTTCAGCAACACCGGCGACAAAAGAAACGGTCCAATGCTTCAGCTTCTTCTTCAGCTGCTGGTGGATGGTACAATACCCGACCACTATTTRCATTCCCTTTTCAGCTGACGTTACTACAAAAGCAACGATTGGCAGCGTCACTTCCTACTGCCCACCGGAAATATGTTTAATCTTGCGTTAATAAAACGATGACGCTTTGACCAGAATTCGTTTTTATTGTTAACTCATTAATGTGCGTGTGTGCGTGTGTGCATGTGTGCGTGTTTGTTTGCGCGRMAGCACACACGTGCAGACTAGTGCCCATGGAATTTCGAAATAAAAATACTCATTTTAAGTTGCGGCTCGCAGCCCCACTGGGTAGGTCTAGGGGCACGGCGAGAGTGGTCGCGAACCATTTTAAATTCATTAAACACGAATCACTTACACATACACAGAAGAGCACGTACATATACATATGTATGTATGACATAGGTATGTAGGTATGTATAGATAGACAAAAGCGCTCTTGCAAATGTTGCCGCTGGGCTGTGCAAACTCGCCAACAAACCATTCTAACCGTCGAGCGTCCAGCTATAAACATAKGTACGTGGCTTTATATACATACATACAGCGTTCTCGTGCGCCCTACACACGGAGCAGAAGTTAGCTTTGTTTTGTTTGTCAATTTGTGCGGGGTTGACGCTGGCTTTAGCCAATACCGGCTGTGGTTAGAAGTTTATTCGGACTGCAGCAGTGCGAGCGCTGACAGTTGACTTTGTTGGCTCGCCTTTGGTGAGTTGGCATTGAAAGAATTTGTGGAATTCTTAATTAAATTTGCATGCACGCAACAGTTTCCAGCATCTGCAGAACTCAAACAGCTAATCAACACACGGCTACATAAATATACTATACATACACTACGTACATAACTTTGGCTAATTTCTGGTTTCGCTAAACTTAAAACTTTCGTTTGCGACTTTCTTGGCGCGTACTTCACAAGTGAAAGAACTTTGGTTGTTTAAGAAGTTTCACTTTGTAACTCACGAAACAGATGATGGAAGCACTTTCGTGTGTCTTCATTTTTTGTGTGGAGGATAAGTGGGCGAACGCTTTTCAGTTAAAACTTAAGCGARAATCTTTAATGCACTCTTTTAAAGAGATAATAGATCGGACATATCTGGGATCTGGGGCGGGAGAAGTAACCATTTACAAGAGGGCGCAAATGGTCAAACGYCCAACAAAGCTTCCGATGAGAACATCAAAACAAAGTGAAGTTGATCGAGATATCTGACACGGAAAATATATCAAAGCAACTGGGCGGACAYATCGTTCATGGTAAGCAAAAGACTACACAAYCCAAAGCGTGGAAAGAAGGAAGAGTCAACTGACAGAAAAATCGGTGGTTAGGACTACGTGTTTCTGATTTAAAGCTCTGAAAATATCGAACTCTGTTCAAACTGGAAACCCTTGTAAAAGTTCAAACAGAAACTATGTGTGGTGCCTAGATGGAACCCTAAAAATTAAAACTTTTGTGTTATTTGTTAGAAACTTTCCGAGAAATCTATTACAGAGTATTTATTACTGATTGAGTMTCATTGCAACAAGACCTTTTGTATGCAATGCAGTAAAGTTTTACCCCAATTGAATGCTATTGTCGCACACTCACATATACCCAAGGTCTATTCACTTGCAGCCGAGTAGAGATGTACACATGTTTATGGCGAATCCATGATTCATAAAGTGTAAAGACAATGCAGTAGGTAAAGAAATTATTACGCGCGACGTTTTGCCGCTAAGACGATACACTCCCATAGCGGAAAACCGAAACCTAGCAGTCTTAGCTCGGAGGCAAACGGAAGCGCCATAAAGTTAGAATACACTGAAGCAAAGCCCCGAAAGCGTCCACCAGCACAGGATTAGCGAGTCAGTCGACTGGAAGATAAATGGCAACATAAATGCCAACAAAGCGACAGAGCGTCGTTTTGCCGTGGGATCAAGGAAGTGCTGAGGCTTTCGTTCGCCTTCTCGCCGACAAACATACTTGCATACATAAATTCATCAATGCAAATGACGTGAAGCGTGCCTAAATGAAAACGTTATGATATGCCTTGTGGCACACGCAAACCCAAGCGAAAATTCATGTGTTCAACGAGTAGTAATTGCTCTTTTCGGCAGACGGCAGGCGGCAGGCGGCTGCCGTACCAGCCCAGAGCTGGAGCGTCGTCGGGCTGATGTTTTTTGGCAGCGCATTTATTTCCTTGGCGCGACATTCTACGCACATTAGCTGYAAATTGATACATAAACGCAGCAGGTGGCGCGGGCGGGGCAGGGGTAAAGCCAAGAATGTGCGCGCTCGCGGCAAATGCGGAAACTCAAATAAATAAAACAAATGCAATTTCCGCAATGGCAGGAAGCGGCTCAGGGCATCAAATCCACTCCGTTGACAGTTCAAAGCTCCAGAATCCCATAACAGTATTTGGGGGGTTTGAAATTCAAAATCTAAGCAAGTATAACTATTACAACGGCACCCAGCATATCAAGCCTTTGTTCTTACCTAGAAAGTTTCAAACACTGTTCCATTCACAWGCTGCGCCAATAAGAGATAGCAATAAAGCAAACACGGCAAATCGCACACCTTTAAACATTWTGATTATTAAAAGTAATAACATCGCTGCTGCATATCAGTAAGTTCGAAATTAAGAAGACTTAAATCAAGCAATTACATTCGAAGGAAAATCCGAGAGATATATGAGACRCCCATGGAATTTATTGCCATAATTTGTCACCTTCATAAGAATTCAGAATTATATTCATCAAAATCATTGGAATGACTAAACCGATTTGCGGATATCCATTTTTCACACCGGCTCCCATGTTTTATACCACCTCGAAGGTAAAATTTAATGTCTCTGGCGTAATTAGTTATATTAGTGGCCGAGGTTATCTTCCGATTTCATCYATTTTCTCACCGTCGGCAGGAGTTTTTATAATATTGCACTCAGCTAATTTGGTTCTAGCTTTAGTAGTTTAAGAGATATGGCGATTTGTGGGCGTGGTAGTGGTCCGATTACGATTTTTGTACTAAGAAACCCGCATACCAAGTTTCATCTCCATTTTTAATCAAGTTACAGCTTGCACGRACAGGCGGGCGAACAGACAGACAGTCACCCGGATTTAAGCTTTTTTTGCTTATATATCTATCTCTATTAATTTTAGGTGTTTCGTACAACCGTTAGGTAACAAAATTATAATACTCTGTTGCGACGGGTTGCAAGGTCGGAAAATAGCCCGGCTCACTCTCCACATAATGGTATTGTTAAAAACCTGTCTCTTATACACATCTCTGTTGCGACGGGTTGCAAGGTCGGAAAATAGCCCGGCTCACTCTCCACATAATGGTATTGTTAAAAACTGCTCAAAAGCGCAATAAATCAATAACTAATTACTAGAGATATTAAATTTTACCTTCGAGATGGTATGAGAGGGCTTTATGGGAGCCGGTGTGAAAATTGTCACATATCTCGGGACCAGACAAACCGATTTCGACTAATTAAGTTTCTGGTAATTAATATAATGGGATAAAACTTAGCACGAATAATGCCTTTAGAGTATGCCATCTTATGACTAAAAATTGTCCAAATCCAAAAAAAAAGTGTTCAAACCCCTAGGTACCGAATATGTGGATTATAGTATCCATAGTTGACTTTTGGCCGAAAATATCGATCAATATACTATACAATTGAAATTCAGAGAGAATTTTTTTCTGTGTATCAAAAATGGGTTCAATTGCGTCAATGCCTTCCCTGTGCCCCAATATACATATGTATATAAAGATTTTCGAACTTCTAGGTGACTTTATACCTCATATGAGAGTTATCTCAATAAAAATGAAAAAGCGTGTTTTACGCATAACAGTGTATCTCTGTGACAAAAATAAATAAAATTGAGCGAAAACTTGACATAGCTCCCATACAAGTATAACTAATATCATTATTTTCGAACATTCATCTGACTTTACTTCATATGATTAGTGTTTACATGTCAGGTACTTTCTGAAACGCTGTGTTTTAGTATGTGGCATGTTAATAGTATGCGGTATGGGTAAAACAAAGATAAAATCGGGTCGATACTTACCCAAGTCCCATATCGATCGGCTTATCGATATAGTATAAAAATATAAAATTGCTTGGATTCCGAACGTCTGGCTGACGTTTTACATCGTAAAGTATTTCCACGGCTTTAATTTATGCAAATTGCTAGATTATAAAATGTTCGGCTGCACCCGAACTTAACTCTTTCTTACTAGTTGGAATTGCGGTTGTGTGGTTTTATGGCAGAACTCAATTGACGATCATCGCCGGTGAAAGTAATAAAGCGCACTCATGCTCGTGTCTCGAAAGGTGCCATGAAAAGTGGTATTGTGTTTCCCCTCCAACAAGAGCGTTAGTCGCTGGAATCATATTTTGAACGCTTCGCGGAGAACCATAAACGTTTGGTGGGAGGAGTTACGTCCACCGAGATAGGGCCACATGATGCACTTTTGGAGTCAGTAGAAGAGCTGTGTACTGCGGCACGCTGCAGACTTAATAGTTTCATCGCATCGTCAAGGGTTCCCTCAACGTCTCTGGATGGCAATTTGGCTGATATCAAATTGAACACGTTAGCTATTCCG